GATCCAGTTTTGCTTTAACCTCTTGCAAAGCCAAATTCCCGTCTGCTTCCGAGCAAGGCAATTTTATTTTCTGAAGCCAAGTTTGAGGGAACACTAAATCGCATGTGGCTTTGGTAAGGGAAAATGATACTTTCCTGGCTCTTAAAAGCTTTAAGGTTTAGGCAGACCCAGTCAGAGCTGGTCATGAAAATGTTTGTAATCCCAGTGCCCCATTTTAAATGTCTCAGGGATAAAAAAAGGTGATTTGGGGATGCTGGATGGAAGGCAGCTGGCCATTGAGCCCTAAATGTTGGGGTTTGGCTTAGGGAAAGAGCCGATGTGCAGTGTACCATGGAGATGTCTGCTTTTCTTACAGGAGCTCTCCTTCGGCGCCTCCCAAATCCGATGCTAATGCTGGGATTGCTGGGATGCTCATCCTCTGCCAGTTGTGCCGTATCCCGGCCTCCAGACCACTGCTCCCCCACGTGCTTCATCTTCCCTTTGTGAAACCTCGCAAAGTGCTGGCGAGGGAAGAGCTTTTGGGCAAATCTGCAAACTGCTGCGGAAAAATCCCGGCTGGCCCAGGAAGCAGAGGGATTTGGTCTTTTCCTTCTCTGGTTTCCCTTCCCATCAAAGGGGGAAGATTTCGGGATTTCATGCTGTCATTCAGGTTTGGGATGGACCTTTGTGTGTTGAGGCGCAGTTGAGGTAGTCCCTCAGCTGGCATAGGTGACAGTGCTGGGATGGGTGAGGTTTCCAGACTAGGACCTGTGATTTTTCCAGATTTAGGACCTGTCCTTTTTCCAGATTTAGGACCTGTCCTTAAGTCTCTGCCAGCCTAAAAGCCAAGCTAATAAATGCAGACAGCATCGGGGCGGCTGCTTGTCCATCTGTCGGAAATGTCACCCTCTGCCAAGCCATGGGGGTGAGCAGGAGCATTTCACAGGCAGCTCCCTGAGAGAGGTACATGGTTTAAAACAGCGACGGGACAACCGGCTCTTCCCACAGGGAAAGGTCCAAGATGGGGCTTTTGTAAGTTAGAGTTTAGTAAGTCCAAGCCATCCTTTTAACCCCACTTCAGCTGTGACAACTGGGTCACAAGTTTTTCTCCTTCTTAAAAGGAATTTGCTTTTTACCACCTCTTTTTGACTCTTCCTAAGCAACGCAGGCTCCTCGGGGTGAAATCCCACAGAACTTGCAGAGGTACAAAGCGTTTAGGAAACCCCAGTGCTGGTCACCGGGAAATTGTGCTTTTCATACTTGGCTGTCCAGGTTCAGCATCTCCCTCTGCCTTTTCCTTCGGGTTTATAATGTGTTCTGTGTATGATGTACCCACCAAATTAAGCGCACCTTGCGATGAGACATAATTTGTTGAACAAATGTTGTTTGTTTGCAGGGAGAGGCCAGTTTTGGCAGGCAGCTGCTGTGTTTCCAGCGCGGCTCGAGCAGGACCATCGCCTTCCCCCTTTTTTGCAGGTGCAGGTAGTGGCCATTGGCCCCAAGCCCTTCCCGGGGTGGTTTCCTACACCTTTGGTGTACAGATTGCAGGCATCTTTTGAACCTCAGGAGGTCAGCTCTCTTTGCTCAGTGAAACCCACTGCCTGCTGGGTGAGCTCGCTTTAACTTCTCAGGTTTGAAACTGGAAATGCGGCTGTGGGCCTGGTTTAGTTTAATCGAACTGGCTGGCGATGACCGTGATGCTCACTGCAGTTGTAGCATCATCTCTTGCTGGAGCTCAGGTGGTTTGTGAAATCCATCAGATCCAACTGTTATTGGTAACTTTAGTCTTCTCTATCTCCAAAAGTCTTTTGTGATAAAATTCCTCAAAATTTATCCCCTTGACACAACCCCAGACCTCTTCGCATATCTTCACCTTGTCCCCAAAACGGTGCAAACCCTCAGCGCATCTTTTCCAATGTTTCCCCAAATGATACTGACCTGAACCGATCCTTTTCATCTGGGTGATCCCATCAAATCATGCACCATGTGATATTTTTTTTCCCCATTTCATTTGTATTTCCAACTCCACTGGGTTTTTGGTTTTGGACTCATTCAGGGCTGTGCCTGCCATTGGTAAAGGGCTGGTTTGGAAATTCGTGTTTTGCGTGCCTTTACAGCCAGGCTTTGCTTTTGTGGTCGCTGAGCATCGCGTGTGCTGCTCCAGTTGCATTAGAGGCCTGAATTAATAGGCTTTAAAAAATGCTTATGAGGACAGATCCTACATAGATAACATCCAGAGCTCGTGTCAGAAGCGATCAGAGGCCGGCATTTCTCTTCCAAACATCCGTGGAAGCCGGAGGTCTTTGTTTATTTGTTTTTGTGAAAAGTCTGTATCTGCTTTGCAAGCCAGGAAAATCCATCAACTGGAAAAAAAAAATAGCTCGGACCGGCTTTTAGCTGCTCATCCCAACTGAATAAACAGCGTCAGCTGCAGGGAGATGTTGCCTTCTATGTTTAGGAGTAGTTAATTGTGCCGCAACCTCTGCGTGCTTGAGTTTTTGTCCCCAAGGAAAGATAATCTGATCTGGTTTTGGATGCTGTTATCGGGGTGTGGAGCTGAGAGCCCCAGCCTGGAGGAGTCCTCTGTGTGCCCTGACCAAGGCAGCAGTGGCAATCAGTGCAATTAGCTAACGACATTCTTCTGCAGGTGCCTCGGTCAGAACAGAAACCGTTTCATTTGCAATCCCAGAGAGGAAGAAGCCCTCCCGTGTCAAGCATTTTCCTGCGAGTCTTTGAAACGCCGCTGGGCACGTCCTGCAGACAGCTTGGACTTTGAGCAGGTCCTTACGGGGCCCCACGGAAAGGAGCCGTGGCCCTTTGATGTCCCTGCCGCCGTCCTCCCGGCGCTCCTCCGCATAGCTGGGACCTGAAGTCACAAAGGCGGCCGAGATGCTCCTGCCCTTCCTGGGAATGGTGGCGGCAGCACCCCACAGCTCTGCCTTGCTTTAGTGGGGTTCATTCTTCAGGTTTCAGCCACTATTTGTCTGCATATTTCTGCTCGAAAGCAACATCGGTGAAGCCCTCACAAGCTTGTGGTGCGTCTCTTTTGCAGGGAGCATCTGTAGATACCCCAGCTGTCTGGTTGGAAGAGGCTTTGAAAGGCCAACTTCTCTTTGACTTGTAAAATTCAAATTTTTCCTGCATTGCGGAATGAAACTCCGCTCGTTCACACCCGTGCACCATCCAGTAACAGGCAAAGCTTCCTGAAGAACCAGGGCTAGCCCCTGCCCTGGGCTGTTTGTGCGGTGCTGACTCATTTGGGAACCATCTCGGTGTCTGAGGCTGGGGTTGACCTTCAGGTTACGGCAGCCTCTTCTCACTCTGCACCATCCCAGACCTTTCTGAACAAGGTGCCCATCTGCTTCTCCATCCTAGGACTACTCTAGCTGACCCTTTTTATTTAAAAATAACCCAATTTAAACCAAATTTAAACCCAGCATCTTTCATCCCAGGCTGCCCTTGTGGCATCCTCGATGGAAAAGCCCAGCCAGCCAATTCTGTGTGAGTCAGGTAGAAATGTTTCTGGCAATGTCATTTGCGATGCCAAGCTTGGAAATATTTAAGCTGGAAACCTGGTGTGGATTAATGAATTGCACAGAGCCACGGGACAAGCCAGGAAAACTGGATTTTGGGAACAAAGAGTAACCAAATGTGACCCTTTTCTGGCACTCTCGTCTTTACGGAGACCTCAAGTATAGCTCTGGCCACGCTATGTGTGTACCTCAACACAAGAATTGTTTACTGCACAACTTGATTCCCCTTTTCCCCCCCATTCTGTGTACCTGAGAGCAACAGCAGAATGCACTTTGTCCCTGGAGAGAGGCTTGGGGAGCCTGCGGCATCTCCTCTGCATCTGGCCGGGCTCTCACCACCTGGAACCCATCGCAATCGAATTGCTTTTCTCAGCTGCAGCATCTTAAAATAGCTGCTCTGGTTTCTTTTAAAAATAGGCTCTGTTCTGCGTGGCGTTACCTGCTAAAAATGTTTGTCAAAGTCCTTTTAGGACGTGGGAGGAGAGCGGGTGGTTTGGCGTATCGGCCTTTTCGGAGAGGGTGACGGTGCCGCTGCGGCCACGTGCGCAGCCTTGCCCTTGAGCTGCCCCCGCTTCCCGCGTCCGTGTTTTTCGGGTGATGTATTTAGGGTTATTTTGAAAGCATGACTGCAGAGGTGGAGGAATCTGCGCCGTGGGAAGGAGGATGCTCAGAGGCTTTAGCTTTTCCTGGGAAGCAATTCAGCACCTACTGCAGCAGCAAGATAGCGACGCGGCGCTCACAGGCGCTGGGGTCATAACGGAGCAGCCGGAGGTTGAGAGGTGAGCGCAGCACTTTGCTCTGCTGCAGGAAAAACCCTCGGCCTGCACAGGCTTTTCTGAGCATAAAATGTCACAAGAGCATCGAGCCAAATAGGCTGCATCACTTTGCTTGTCCTGCTCAGGAGGTCCCTGGCCCCTGTGGAGCCGCTTGAACCTCAAACAAGCCAAGTAAAAAGTTTCTTTGATAATTTTTAGAGGAGAATTTCATTCAGCAGACTGAAGGAGTGATGGTTAATTCACCCAGCAGAACGTTTAGGGTTTAATCGTGGCGCTTCACAAAAAATGGGGCTCAGTGTGTGAGCACCAAGCGATCTGCCATGAGCGACGCCGGATGTGCTAGGATTGGTATTCCCTCTCCCTCCTTCCTTGGGGAGAAGTGACTTAGGTATTTGGAGGTAATTATTGCTTTTATTCAGTGCTAGAGCAGTAATTTCAAGGGATACATTAGAAAGCTAGCAATTTCCTGCCAGTGAGTGACAGATGTTTTGCCATACATGAGATGTGCTTTCAGGCTCCTACTAATTACAACGACACAAATTGGCAGGAGTTTTTCTTCCCAGGCTCCAAAACCATAATTTTGCCTTCTTTTCTGCTATTTTATTTTTTTTTAAGGTGGAGTCTCCGTGTTGTCACACTTGAGGAAAACTCATGCAGGGTTTGGTGGCTGTGCTTCCTAACCTTTCCCTTCCCCTTCTCTATCCCTGCCCAGGTTCGTACCCCTCGCCCAAGGCTGGGGCCACGCTGGTGGTCTACAAGGACTTGCTTGTGCTTTTTGGTGGGTGGACACGGCCAAGCCCATACCCTCTGCACCAGCCAGAGAGGTTCTTCGATGAAATCCATACCTACTCGCCCTCCAAAAACTGGTAAGAGCACATCTGGACTGGAAGCCTGGGCTTTGGTCATGTAGAAATGTCTGTAATGCAGCTGGAGGACTGCCTTGTAGGGAAGCTTGGTTTCCTAGGTGTGACTGCGATGCTCTTACTGAAACAAAAATAAACCCCAAAAGCACAGCAGAGATGTGAGCACACTTGCTCTCTGGTACCTCTTGGGTGGTGGTTGCTTCTGTCTGGCTCTCGGTTTGTACCTAAAATACACCAAACTCCCCGTGTGTCTCCATCCAGCCAAGTGGGAAATGTGGATGTGGATGCTTTAAACACGTCATCAATGTGGAAAGGAGGAGTTAAAAGCCTCAACTCCAGGAGGTCTTGCTTTTAGCAGTGGTCCAAAACTCAGAGTTCCTGTGGCCCTATCCCTACCTGTGATAAAGCGGGTACCTGCACCTTGTGAGGAAGCTCTCTGCCTTTCACAGCTCCTGGACCTTTAATAAAGCATCCTGCCATGACCGCAGCGATGGCAGGAATTTTCCTTTCCCATTTGAAACATCATTTGGCTCATTTTAGACCAGGCTTTCTCACTTGTGTGTGAGAAAAGAGCAGATGCTGTATCAAAGCGGCAGTGGTTCCTGCTCCTCTCTCATTGAGAACTTTTCATCATCAGAAGTGTCAATTAGCCAGTGCACTTCTGGGCAGTGTCGTTAACGCTGTAATTAAACCACATTGGAAATAGTGCAGGGTGAACCTAATTGAAAGGGGCGATATTTCCAACGTGGCCTTGTGACTTTGTTATGCCTTAAAAATGTTTAGTGCATTAGTATTTCTAATTAGTTTCGTTGTTATTTGGATCTTCGGAGGTTTTCCTCTGTAACGTGTTCTTGAGGGCTTTGCCAGCCCCTGGGATTTTCCTTTTTGCCATTCATCTGGCGCTTTCCTTTCCAACCCAATGGTGAATGCCTTCCTCCCCCTTTCCCCAGGTGGAACTGCATTGTGACCACCCACGGCCCCCCTCCCATGGCAGGACACTCCTCCTGTGTCATTGAAGACAAAATGATCGTCTTTGGGGGTTCACTAGGATCTCGGCAAATGTAAGTTTGGGTTGAAGCTGTTTGAGTGCTCCTGCAAGCGAGGAGTATTGTTATGATGGTCTCGGGGTAGATAATAGCGTTGCAGAAGGAAATCTCCCCAGGGTTTTGGGGTCTGCAGGGTGCCTTAGTGCAGCTTTTGCATCTTGTGGCAAATCCCCTCACAAAAAACCCAGTTCTGCTATAAAACTCTGCCCTGAACCAATATTTCAAACACCCCGAGGGTCTGGTTGTACCAGCAGCATCATCAGCTCTTGTCGTCTCATCCTTGCAGGAGCAACGATGTCTGGGTGCTGGATCTCGAGCAGTGGGCTTGGTCCAAGCCCAACATCTCCGGACTAAGCCCTCACCCCCGCGGTGGCCAGTCTCAGGTGAGCTCTCCTTCACTACCTCAGCACCACCGCGCACTGCCAAAGATAAACCCGACCCAGCTGAATTTCCAGCTCCCAGGCACCTTTCTCTGGATCGCCTGGAAGCTAGCGCCTGATTTCCACGTTATCTCTGCAGCCTTTGCCCGACGGGCCCATGTTTCCCCAAGACATCTGTTCTGTCAGGGTGTGCTTTCAATCTCCCAAATGCTTGGGCAGGTACCGTTCCGCGTCTGGCACATGACTCACATCTCTAATGAACATTTCTAGAAAACAAATTGCTGCTTTCACCCAGCCGTCTTCCCCTGTGGCATTTAAAGATCAATGAAGTGTTATCACAAGTTGGTTTGGCTCAGGGCCCTTTTGATAGCTCCGCTTTCCTGATCCTTGGATCAAGCGGCTCTGAATTGTACCCGCTCAAAGCACGGCTCTGGCGGCGCCTGTTTTATTGCCCGCCCGGGGCAGGGAGCTCATGGGAGTCACCCAGCTCCATGCAGGTGTCTGGCCCCCTCTCTTTGTGATCCCCAGGAAGATGGCAGGTGGTTCCCTTTACCTTACTCTTAGCCTGAAGAGATTAGATGGGTCATGCTCAAAATGGGTCATTTGAAGAGGGGTGTCAAGTCCCTTGCTGTTTGGCTCAGCTTCAGAAAGGGTAATTGCTCTCCTCCATAAGAGGAACTGGTCTGTGAGCCGTTTGGGAGTTGAACCCTGCATCCCACTTTGCTTCCAGTCCAGCAAACCCATCTCTCCATCCCAGCTCTGCTCTTCATCCTGGGGCGGGCAAAATTCAGCAGCATCTGTGTGGCTGGGAAGCCGTAACATGGCTCTGCCTGCACTTAGAGGCTTTGCTGAAATCACCGGGGACCGCATCACGTCCTTCCCGCTCTAAAACGCTGTTCTTTGCTCCCTCCAGATCGTAATAGACAATGAAACCATTTTAATCCTCGGTGGCTGTGGTGGTCCCAATGCAGTAAGTACCCTGGGGGGAGCGTGGGCATGACCTGCACGTGTCTCGCTGTAACTGAGAGCTGTGGGTACTACGCTGGGGAGAGAGGGGACTCCGAATGGTACCTGGGTGGCATTTTATCCTGCAAATCTGGGCACCCACGCAGCAGATAATCCAGAGAAGCTGTTTAGCTATTGCCCAAGCTGCTTTAATTAAGAAAAAAGCCCCCCAGGTGCTATCTGAGCAGCTTGTTGAGCTTAATTGAGCCTCGGAAGATTTAGCCCAGATGTTATACAGGGTAGAAGATGAAGGGATTTGATTTGTCCGTGGCCACAGTAGGGTGCAGGCACGCCTGGGCGGTCAGATCCTGATCTGGGTCATAGCTCCTCTGTCTGCAGAGCAAAGCACTGCCCCTGCCTGATGGGATGATCTCAGCAGCAAACTGAGCTCCTAAATCTCAAGCCAGGCTCCTAAATCTGTCGCGTTTTCCTTCACAGCTGTTCAAAGACGCCTGGTTACTGCACATGCACGTGAACCCCTGGACGTGGCAGCAGCTGAAGGTGGAGAACGAAGACCACGGAGCCCCAGAGCTGTGGTGCCATCCTGCCTGCCGGGTACGGACACTGTGGGGTCTCCGCTCTCTCGTATCCATCCCTTGATCGCTACTGCCTGCCCAGAGTGCTCCATACCCCCCTATTTTTTCCCCAATACAGTGCAAGGCATCATCTTGCCTCTTAAAACCTGTTATTTCTTCTCCTCCTCTTCCAGGTGGGACAGTGCGTTGTGGTCTTTAGCCAAGCTCCCAGTGGGAGAGCCCCGCTGAGCCCCAGTTTGAACTCTCGCCCCTCTCCCATCAGCGCCACACCGCCTGCCCTGGTCCCTGAAACGCGGGAATACCGCTCTCAGTCTCCGGTCAGGAACACGGACGAAGCTCCCTGCGTCAACGGCCGCTGGGGCACCTTGCGACCCAGAGCGCAGCGGCAAACCCCCTCGGGATCGCGGGAAGGGAGCCTCTCCCCAGCCAGAGGGGACAGCTCCCCTGTACTCAATGGTGGGAGTTTGTCACCTGGGGCCACGGCGGCTGGTGGCGCCTCCTTGGACAGCCCAGTGCAGGTCGTATCGCCCAGCACCCCTTCCGCGGCTGAAGGATACGATCTAAAAGTGGGGCTCGCTTTGGCACCGCGCCGGGGATCGCTGCCGGAGCAGAAAGATCTGCGTTTGGGATCCGTCGACTTGAGTTGGGAACAGAAACCCCTGCCAGAGGGACGGGCTGGAGGGCAGGACGGTCGGCGCCGGCCTGAGGAACCCCCCCGAGCAGACCAACGGCGTCCACACGCCGCCCCACGTCGCCAGCTCCCTCCCGGGGGCCGTGTCCCCCAGTGCGCTTCGGAGGAGCTTGGAGGATGTCAAAACCCTCTCTTCCAAAGGCTCCTCGGCCTCTGCGGCGTTGAGCCCTCCCCTGGCTTCGTCCCCGGGGTCTCCAGGTGCCGAGACGGGCTCGGCAGCACGGCCAGGCTCTGTCCAAAGTGACGGCCATTCCTTACCTCCCATCGCCCGCCGCCTGGGCCACCACCCTCCCCAATCCCTCAACGTGGGGAAGCCTTTATACCAGAGCTCTCTTCCAAAGGCTCCTCGGCCTCTGCGGCGTTGAGCCCTCCCCTGGCTTCGTCCCCGGGGTCTCCAGGTGCCGAGACGGGCTCGGCAGCACGGCCAGGCTCTGTCCAAAGTGACGGCCATTCCTTACCTCCCATCGCCCGCCGCCTGGGCCACCACCCTCCCCAATCCCTCAACGTGGGGAAGCCTTTATACCAGAGCATGAACTGCAAACCCATGCAGATGTACGTCCTGGACATTAAAGACACCAAGGAAAAAGGACGCGTCAAATGGAAAGTGTTCAACAGCAGTTCGGTGGTGGGGCCGCCCGAAACCAGTTTACACACGGTGGTGCAAGGCCGAGGGGAGTTAATCATATTCGGTGGCCTCATGGACAAGAAACAAAACGTGAAATACTATCCCAAAACAAATGCCTTGTACTTTGTGCGAGCAAAAAGATAATGCGGCCCGAGCCCTCTGCCGCCATCACCTTCTCCCCTCCCTCCCCGCAGCTCTTCCCTCTCCTTTCCAAGCCCTTACTCTGTCCCGCAGGCGTCCAAACTGTGAATTTAGGGAGCAAGAAACCAATAAAGTCCAAGCAAAACCTCCAGCGCTGCCCTGCCGGTTCCCAGTAAGACCCCAGTTAAGCGAATTGTGTGTACAGGTGGGGAAGGACCCGCGCTGCTGTGACCCAAGCCGAGGATTTGGGGTGACAGGTAGGGACATCTGCCATTCAGTGTCCTCTTGAGGTTGTGTTTTATTTTCCAGGGGGTTTGAGCAGCTTCGTATCTCCCCAAAACTCCTTGCGGGATGTGAGTAGAAGTGGTTTTATACGAAGAAACCAAAAACCGGCTGTTAGCTTGCGCGCACTGAGTATTTCCGCACTTGAGTCTGTAAGGAAAACAACAGCAATACCCCAGCGGGAACCTGCCAGCGCTGCAGACCTCTGCTCGACACAAACACGATGCCTTTCTTTTTTTGCCTCTCACCCCTTTAGCCTGCAGCTCTCATTCCTGTCATCCGTACAGGACCATAAGGAGGAAGAAAGGACAGGGGCTTTTGTGTCAAAATGCCAAAAATATTAAGAATTAGCCGGGCGTTTGCATCCTCCCCTCCCTGCCCTGAGCTGGATCAGGCTTCGGGATCAGCCCGAATCAGCAAAAACCACCATTTACTCTCAAAATCCCATTATTCCCCCAACACCAGGAAATTTGGCTGCCCCTTCCCTTTAGGACTTGAAGGTTTTGTTTCACCCATTCAAGGCTGAACCAGCGCCTTGTGGCCTGGGTCCAGGATGTTGGGGTTTTTTCCAGTCAAAAAGATGAAAATTGGTCAGTGTGTGGGTGTGAGCAGCCCCGATAGCAGTCACCACCCCTCATCTTTGCACGTGCCTCCTTCCACCAAGATTAACCCAGATTTAAATCCGAAGGGGCTGAACCTGCGCGTCCTTCCAGGACAACCTCCCCCTCCTTCCCTTTCCCCTCCAGAAAATGGGGAGGGGGGGGAAAAGACAGGCCCATTCTGCAAGGTTTTGGTTAACAACCTCCAGTACCCAAAACCCAGGGAACCCTCCCCAAACCGGCAGCGCCATGACGTGGCCCCTTTTCCCTTTTCATTCTCCCCTTCATCCCCACTGAGCTCTTTGCCGGTCGGAGCCTTAAATCGCATCCCAGCCACGTGGGGATGGGGAGGGGTTTGTTTCATCTATGGCGTTTCCAGCTCTGTAAATAAATCCCTCGTTCAATCCGGCATCTCCCGTCCCACCCCAGAAGTATTTGATTTCTCCTAAGAGCAGGCAGTTTTTACCCCCAGAACCTCAGGAGCACCTAGGGTGATCTAGGAAATATTTCTTTGCCATGGGGAAGGCGGTTGGGGTTTCAGCATTGATTCCCTCCTCCCTTTTGCATGTCTCTTGTTATCCAGCCCAAAAAAAGAGTCAAAAAGGGATGGATGGTGGCCTGGTGTTGGGTTGACGTCCCTCTCCCTGCGTGGAGCGTGCCTCCAGGGGTGTTTTCCCAATGTTTATGTAGTCTCCATTCTCAACTGGTCCCAAAATCCCTATAATTGGTCCCAAAATGCCTATAACTTCTCCCAAAATGTCCCAAACCAGTCCCAAAATCCTCATAACTGGTCCCAAAATGTCCCCAGCCAGTCCCAAAATCCCCATAAGTGATCCCAAAAATACCCACAACTGGTCTCAAGACCCCTATAATTGGTCCCAAAATGTCCCCAGCCAGTCCCAAAATCCCCATAACCGGTCCCAAATTTCCTCCCAAACCAACCGAGCAGCTGGGGCCATCCCTTGTCCGTCTCCATCAGGCATGTTCTGTGCTGTTACCGATGAATTCGTCCAGATTTTGAGGCCCACCACCTGCCCGTGAGCCGCTGGTGCTGTGAGCGAGGTGTCCCCCCCTGTGGCTCAGGTGTCCCCCCGACGTTGTCCCCCCCGGCTCAGCCGAGCGTAGGAATGAAAAGCGATTTTCGGTGATATTTAAAAATCTTGTGTACATTTTTTCTTTTTTTTTTGGGAGCGGGATGTTAATGGGTTCCCTCCCCCCATCCTGATGAATTTTTAGCGGTTTAACAAATAAAAAGGAAAAGAAACCGATGGTTGGTCCTTTAGGGGAGACCTCCTTGCTGTGCTGACTTGAGTTTGGGGGAGGAAAGGGGAAATTTGGGGTCTTCGCGAGAAGGTTTCTACCGGGGGTGTGGGGCCAACGTGGTGGTGGGGGGAAGGGTGGACGGTGGAACGGGAGGGTTCCAAAAAGAGGGGGGTGATGGAAGTTGGGGACCTCAAAGCCTGCTGGGGCTGGACACCCTGAAT